CCTCTTCCCTTGCTCCGTACGCCACCCAACCTCTGCCCTTCCTCCGCCCGACTTCACCCTGCCGTCTTTCCCCTTCCCCCCAGCCTCCTTCCACCTCATCCTCTTCCTCTTCACGCTTTTTCCCACACTCGTCTCCCCCTTACCTCCTTCCCTTCCTCCATACGTCACTCAAGCTCTAAACTACCTTCAGCTATCTGTCCTCCCTCCTCCCTACTTCTCCCTGCCAACTCCCTTTTCTCCCTGCCGCCTCCTCTGGGTCTTCTCTTAAGACCTCCCTCTCCCCTCCCTTCGCCTGGCCACCTCACTCCCCTTCCTTCGCCCAATCTCCGCCTGACCTTCTTCCCTCTTTCTCCTCCATCCTCCTCCTTCCTCCGCCTGATTTGTACTGACACCTCCACCTTCCCCCCCCAATCTACTGACACCTCCACCTTCCCCCCCCAATCTCCTTCCTCCCCTTCCTTCCTTGGCCCGATCTCCACCTGCTGACCTCCTGCTTCCGCCCTACTCTCCGCCGTCTTTCCCCTTCTTCCTACAGGCCTCCTCCGCGCACCTTCTCTTCAACCTCCCCCTGGCCTCCGTCCGCCTGCCCGCCTCATTCCCCTTCGTTCGCCCAATCACTGTCTGACCTCCTCCTCTTCCCGATCTCCGTCCTCCCCCTCCTTCCTCAGCCCAATCGCCACCTGACCTCCTCCTCCCCTTCCTCCCTCCGTCCTACTCCCTACCTCCCCCTTCCTCCCCCTTCCTCCCCCTTCCTCCCTCCACCGCCCGCCCTTCTTTCGTACCGCCGGACCTAAGTAAGAAGTGCTGCTTTGTCGTTAGCCACTTGATATCTAGTGGACATAAACGGTCCACTTGTTATCAAGATCGCTCCATTTCTCCATTTTCTTTTTTTTTAAGATCTTAACACGGTTGGTTGCACACGCGCAAGAAGGAGAGAGGGGGAAAGCAGGAGAGAGAAAAACGCATTTGGGGTATAGGACCAGGTGGAGAAGTTATTACAGTAAGTAATACATTCCCTTATTTTGTCTCCGGGGTCTTGCATTTACAGTAATTTAATCTGCTGTTTTAGGATTTGGAGGTGTACATCATGCACTCATTGGCCCAGAAAAACACAACACACTTCCTCCTCCTCTCGCTCTTCCTTCCTCGCACCCTTCTTCTTTGTCCTTGTCGTCTGTCTCCTCCACCACCAAACGTACGTCTCCTGCCTCCTCAAGATCTTCCTCCTCAACATTCTCCCTCGGTCTTTTCTCTTTG